AGGGGCACCTCTGTACCTTGGAGGCTTCTGGGTTAAATGGGTTCTGACTCTGCAAGAGCCGGGCAAGGAAGCAGTGACATTCCCAGTTCATACAATACTGCTTTTGAAAGCTCACTTGATCATCCAGAGTGTGGTGACTGCGTCATAGGTGGTAAGAACTGCTCTGGAATATAGGAAAATACAGGCAATTGGAATATTGTAGATTTTTTTTTTTGTTCTACCTTCTAGGCAGAGCATTTTAAGTTTGTATAGGCTGAATTCATGAAGTTTTCTGATGCTGATAATTCAATGTGAGGTATAAATAAAGTCCAATGCATTAATTCTAAAAATATAAATTAGGCTTTTGAAAATAGGTAAGTCAATTAAGATAAAACCTTTCGTTCTTTACATTTTCTGTTACTACATTTTTGGTAATGTCTTAAGCACAAGTAGACTTGACTTTAAAAGGTAGAGGAGTTGTACTAAATTGCTGTCACCTTATGCAGCTCCTAGGACTTGCTAAAACTACTAAAACCCCCAAGATGAAGAAACCTGTAGAGCTTTGTAAGTGCTTTGGCTGCTGGTGGGACCAGAACTACCTGTCTGCTGCGTGTGGTCAGTCCCAGCACGTTGCTCCCAGCTGGGCTGGGCAGTTGTGGTAGTTGTCCAGAGACCTCTTTAATGGGGAGAGGAGGTACCTTCAAGGTGCTGTAAAAGGAAAGTGCTTCAAAGGACTGAAAGGCTTGAAGGGGAGATGGTTTGTCTTTTCAGTGTGGTCCGGTCACGTCTGCAAGTGGAAGTGACTCTTCTAACATGACACTTCAGTATTTCATTCCAGTCTGCAGAAGTTTGAATCAAAATTGGATTATTTGTTGAAGACCAGAAAGAAATACAATTAACAAGAATTGTATTTTTATTATCTCTGGGTTTTAGCCCTGTTCCAGAACAGGTCCTGTAAATGGCTTTAGCTGGGGGTTGCATAAACAGCCCATTTGACAAGAGTTCCAACCCACGGGAGTTGACTTTCTTAATAAGGTTTTGTATCTCCTCCTATATTTGATTAAAATATAGTTGATATTTAAATAATAAAAATCCATTTTAAATGAGGTAATGGGCTAGAACAAAGAATATCCTCTTTTTCTCCTAAGACCTAATTACTCTTAAGGAAGAAAGTTCCTAAGTAGTGATTTAATTATGGAAAACTGACTGTAGTGCAGGAAATGGTCTAACTTAACAAAAAAAGTCCCTACACTGTGTAATAAATCAAACCCTCCACCAAGAATGTTGTATTTAGAGATTCCTCAGTATTAATAACTATGAAGAGGACTTAGGAAAACAGATGTATGCATGTCATTCTCCTTGTCATTGTTCTTCAGTATCCTGTATTAGTTCATAGTAATACTTAACTTTCAAAACTTGCCTTTTTCAAGCAATGTACTTCCAAGGTTCCTTGTGCATTGCTGTGCATTTGCCTCGTCAGCCTCAAACCTCATTAATAACTTTGTCTGCTCTCTGTCATCCCTAGAATCCAGATTGCTTTGTGGGACAGTTTGTAGGGGTCCTGATGGCTGCACTGGGCTTGTCAGGAATGTTCAGTCCCAGCTGGAGTTGGTACTCTGGGAGTGAGAAGCTGGAATACTCTCTGAGAACTGGTCTGCACATCCTGCTCCCCAGTAATGCACGGCCACGGGGGGTTGGTTGGGGACTCCTGGCAGGGCATGGGGGTACTTTCACACCCCATTAAACCTACAGACCAGTCACTGGGCTCCTGCCTTGACTCCAGCAATGTCTTGGACCACAATCCAAGGGAAAAGAAGCAGGAGAATTGTGAAAAGTTTCCTTTGCAATCAGTGGCCAAACTTCCACAGGATTTAGTGAGGTAGATTTTCATGGCTTCCAGATAGTAACATTTCTCATCCCTTAGGGCTGATCTTCTCCAACTCTCTTCCTTTTTCTCTGTGTTCCCTCCTCCCTGACAGTTGAAGTTACAACCCAGAGGAGTGGAGATGATTTTAAATTTTAAATTGTGGAATGAAGCTGTTGCCCTGTCTTCCATGCTTGTGTAGGTTGATTCAGTTTTGTTATTGTTTGTATAGGTCAAAATACCATAGGAATCCCATAGCACACAGTACTGAAGGGTTTTGGAAAAGGGTAGCTATAAATGCACAGAAATGTTTGCTTTCAGTCCCTAAACAGATAGTCTGGTGATGAGGCTTCTGCAAAATGAAATTAATTGTTTTCTTCCTTTTGTATGCCCTCTTCCCTGTGACAGAATATCATCATCTTCACTTGTCTGTAATGTTGATTCATTTGAGAGTGCAATACACCCTGTTGGAAGAATGCAGACAAGTCTGTGCCATGAGATCTGCTGCACTTGCTGTGTTCCTTCTCTTTGGTGCAGTTTCACAACAAACAGGCTCATGCTCTTATTTGTAGTAACTATGGCAACTTTAGAAGCTCTCTTTCTAAAGCTGAGCATACAATAAAGTGCTTAAAGTGTTGGTAGGATTAGAGACTCTCGAATATGTTTAATTTTCTCCCTGTGTCTCTGTCTTTGGAGAGGAGCAAGAGGGTAATGTGAGTATTAGGGTTTTAATCTGGCTTTAATCTCGCTGACACTCAGGTCTGCCCGAGCCTCCCCCAGCAGGAACAAGGGGTCATGAATATTCATGGTGCGGGCACAATGGGCAACCTACACACAGAAAGGAGCTTGTGAAGGAGGGAAAATGTTATTGAAACCAGTCTGCAGCTTCAGCTACAGTAGTCAATAATGATAAATGCCAGAATGGTGATAGAGTTCATAAGATAATGGGGATGTCTGAGATATTATGGAAGCATGGATGGATCTGGTAATGGGGAAACAGCGTTTGCTGTGGGGTTTAGCAGTGGGTTTGTGTTGAGGGACATAAGGATGATGGTAACAGGATTATTCCCAAAGCTAATGCACACAGGCATCTCTGCGAGTACTTTAGTGTCTGTGTGGCACTTTGTGAGACTGAGAACTGTCACTCTGAAAACTGCTCTTATTCCTGTAGGAGGTTTTCTTTTCTGTAAGTGCTGTGTTTTAAACAGAGCCGTATTTTAGGAACACAACAAGAAAGATCTGCTCCTCATCCCAGGAGCAGAGCCAGGGAGGGTGGTAGCATGTTTCTCACAGTCCATTGGGAGAACTTCATGTTGCTTTTTGGCACTGATGCAATGTCCTAAATCAGACCTGGGAAAGACCTGCAAGGTTTTAACCTTGGTTGGTCAGCATTCATGAGCTTGCCTGCTTTGCTGCTCTGAAATCTGTTCTCACCACTGGTGCTAATGACTGAGACTCTGCTTGTATGTGATTTTATTTCTTAGGTATTTTTTTGGTTTATATGCTCAAATGTAATCTTCAGTGAAAATGCTCAGTTTATGTAACTTCAGTGTAGCTTGGCACTTGTCTTTTCACTTAACTATAGTAGTGATGCACTGACAGAAGAGAATACATGGGTATTCTCTGTCATGTTCACCTGTTAAGGCTTTGATGTGATGCATAATTTTTTTTGGTGTTAATTTCCCTCTTCTGTCATTACCTCACACTGGAGTTTTTTGAACCAGGAAGGTGTGCAGCATGTTTCCTGGCAAAGTGTAAAGAGCTTTGTCAGAGGGAAAAAAAAAAAAAGCCTTGTAGTTGTTAGTGCTTTGCCATTTTTGATTTTCAATTCTGGACTTCTCGAATGTGAAAAAAAATATAAACTGCTACTAAAAGGCAGGGGACTGTTTCACTGACCCATGCCAGTGCATGTTCCCTGCCAGGTGTGTCCAGGCTGCTCTTCATCCAAACCCTTCTCTCTGTTGGGGATGTGTAAGATAGATGGTGTAAGATTGTGTAAGGCCAGTTTCTCTCTTCTCTTGTTTTGTCTGAGGTTCCCATTTTCCCCAGCTGAGGAGTTTTTTCCCTCTCCTCACCCCCTGGCAAATGCCAGAAGAACACCACCTTATCTCTGTGCTTAGACACTCTCCAACCCAAAAGACGTCAAGGAGATGAGTAAATTATGCATATTCCTCTCCTGGATGTGAAGCTACATGTAGTAAATAATTGGTGCCCTGCAGGCAAACCACTTGTGTGATTCAGAAAGGGTAACTTGGGAAAGATTGTATCAAACAGCCTTTCAGCTGCAGAGCTGGGACCAACATCTCTGACACTTCATAAAATGAGCACTGTAGTTCACTTGGAAGATGCCTGGCTGATAATCCTGGGAATTTAAATCCTTTGTGTACAGCCCTGACATGTGCCTCAATCCTGGCCCCAAGGGACCACCTTAGAAGGTGAATGAGTTGCAGCTTGTGCCCGTTCCAATGTCAGCAGGAGCTCCCCGTCGGTGATCCTGGGGTCTGGTCTGGAAAGTGTGTAAAAGCTCCCAGGCACAAAGGACCCAGCTTAGGTAACCTTAGAAGTTAAAGAATTTTAAGTGTCTTGACGTTATTTGTGCTATTTTCAGATATTAACCTGGATAATTTCTCTTTTTCTACATCTCTTCAACTCTTGCAGTGAAAATAATAGTTGTCTTTCCTGGACATGATTTACAGCTTATTTTGTTTGCCAGTGCTTGGAAGTGTAGTGTTAAAGTGTTTGGATCATTAACAAGTGACTGATTTTTTAATTTAATCCCACTAGGAAGATCATTGGAATATTTCAATTAACTGTAATTTTGGTTTGAAACAATATCTCCATTTAATTCTTGAAGTTCATTTATATTTTTGTTAGGGTTTTTTTCCTAACACAAAGCCTAGTAAACTTGACTGAAGTTAATGGACATAAATCATTCTATTAAAAATTAATATAAATTAAGTTCCCTCATATGCAAGTATTTGCAGGTTCAGTGTCAACACCTGTCTTAAATGTCTTACTTTTTCAAACCCTTGATTTCTACTGGGTTTTGAGGTTTAAGGGATTGGGGGAGGGCAGAAGGAGGGGAATGCAATAATAAATGGCAATAAACAATGTTTCACCTCTGAATAAATAACCAGTCCTTGACTCTGCCCCCCAGTTGTGAACCAGTGGGCAGTGTTTGCCATCCGGAATGTGACGGAGCAGAACGAGCGGAACCAGGAGCTGATCGCGGGGCTGGAGGAGCAGGGGCTGGCAGAGGGCTCTGCCCTGGGCAGCATGGGCTTGGAGATGGACAAACGGGAGGGCAGGCTGATCCTCAGGTCTGCCAGGAAAAAGCCCTCCTGAGCTGAGGAGTATTTCTCTTACAAAATAGTCTTCCCTGCTCAGCCAGTCAAGATCTCCTCCTTTTCAGTCCCGGTCTGCTGGAAGTGTTACACTCAGGGTCAGAAAAGCTGCCAGATGATGCTTCTGCCTCATAAACAGAAGCACACCTTGTGTTTCCTGAACACTTGGGTAAATCAGCCTGTGGAACAAAGTCCTCCTTGTCAGTGGGTTGGGATTCTTGTTTCCTTGGTAGAAGGGTGTCATAGATGCAGTATTGAGTTGTTACAATTTCCTTTGCTGAACCTGGGGATAACTGTTGTTAAAAAACTCTCCAAAGAAAGAGCTGCTTTGAAGGCTCCCCTCCAGTAAAAGATCTGTGCTGAGTCAGGGCTAAACAATCAAAGTTTTCAGTCATGGGACTCAAATATCTCTATTTATCTAAGGATCGACGGGATGTTGGATGTACATAAATATTTAGTGAATTAAACACAACATGCCTTCTGTGTATTTAAATTATGAGTAAACCTTCTTTTCTACCTTGTTACCTTTCAGTCTTCATGACAAGTGTATTAAAACCAAAGCTGAAGCTGTTGTGGCAACAGATGCTGCATTCCTTTGCACTGGGGCATGTCTCTGTTTTGGAGACTTGGGTGTTTGTTTGAATTTTATTTGTTCCTTTGGAGGGTAAGTCAGCCCACTTTCCTTTTATTTTGCACTTCTCATGGGTTTTCTGAACTCTGGCAGACTGCTGAAGAGGTAGTTTCTCACTGTGATTAATTCTAGGAGTTTCTTTTCACCCCTCTGCCTTTCCAAAACATTGACAAAACTCATTTCCAGTTAATTAATTCAAGAGAGGCAGAAGAATGGAAGGCCCTGCCTCTTCATTTTGGGTACCCTCCTGTATTGTTGTTGGACCCTGCCACTGTGGAATGTGGCATGAATGAGATGGGGGGAAGGGGGGTGAAGCCGGGGTGGGGGGGCACAGTTAACTCTGTGTGTGCCATAGCTTTGCCCTGGAAGCCAAGAAATGTAACCCTCCATGCACGAGCAAAGCAGGAATTGCAGCTTAATATTGCTGCTGCTTGTGTGTTGTTGCTGCCATTTGATTACTTCCAGTGATCTCGAACTTGCAGGTCTCAGGAAAGTTAATTTGTTGGCATTTAATCCCATTCTTAAATGGAAAGGCAAGTTTATGTCCTTAAGCTCCACGTGCCTGTAACCAGCCTTCAGCCCTGTGCATCAGCTTACGCTCCTCCAGTTCAGTTTTTTGGTTTAAAAATGGGAAAAACACAGTACTTTGAGCTGTGGGAAGTCCCCAGCAGTGTGTGACAGAGCTGGGGAGTAGAGCTGGACTGCTGAGGTGGTTTCAAGTTAACTGGAGGATCTCAGTGTCTGCCCTGGTGGGACTATGGATTTGACCCAGTGTGATTTTTAGCCACCTGTGGGGTTCAAAGGCAAGGATCCAACACTGCTGTCTTCAGCCCTTTCTCAGGTAAACGGGGTCTAGAAAGGGATGATGGCAGTAGGAACAAAGACACAAACTCTTGGTGCTTTTAGTGACTTGTTGCTTGGAAAACAGATGGGGAGAAAAGCGTTCTTTGTGTTAGCAAAGGGTAAACGTGGCTATAAGCAAAGTGCTTCATTTGCTTTTTAAAAATATTTTGACAGGAACATTTTGTCGGGTATTAAACCCTGTTATGTCCAAGTGCTGGTTTATGAAGTTGTGTCCTATACAGGTGGGTGCCTTTTCCTGGCTGAAAGGAAAAGGGATATGGTTGTGGTTCTTCTTGAGCATGTGGTTTCTCAATGATTTCCTTAAGCCTTAATTCTTGTGTTTAGGCCAGAATTCATTTAGCAGTATCATTAGTGTGTCACATCAGATTTACAGCTGGGTTTGTAGGGGTTTTTTAATCTTCATCTCCATAACACAATGAAAGATTCATGCTTCTCACCCCTAAGTGGGGGGAAAAAAAGAATTCTACTGTTACATATAAAAAAGCATTATTCAGAAGGCTGCATCATTCATCTTTAAAAGGAAAGAATTAAACTTTTGCTGACAAAGGACCATCAAATAGAACACCATCTGAAATGAAGTGAAGCTGTTTTCCACTGAGTAAGTATAAAGCTTCAAACATTTTTATTTTAGTGACACTACTTACGAAACTCACGTTAAATGATTTAACAAAGTGAAAAAAAATATATAGAATTATCCTGAACAGAAAACGAACTTGCTGTGTAAGGAAAAAATACAAATAATTTCCTTTTATTTAGGGTGATAAAGAGTTAAAATCCTGTTCACAAAGCAAATCCAGAGGGAACTTTGGTTGTGGAAAAAGCAGTGGGAGTCCCCCTTTCCTTTTAAGCAGATGGGAATAGACAGGGTGTTTTTTTTAACTTGATGGTTGTATACTCACTGACGAAATATACACAAGCCTGTAAATATAAGCCAAATAATAACAAACACAAATAAATCTGAGGGGTTTGTGGTTTTCAGTGCCTAATGAAGTAATAGTTGTGTTTTCAAAAAGGGAAACGTAGGGCTTTCACAACACAGAACATGCTGATTACTGTATTGTGAGTGGCTGGCTTTTGATTTTCCAGGATGGATTAATTCTCAGAACACAACAGGTTCCCTGTCCTCCCCCACTGGAGTCCCAGTCTCCAATAGACTCGTTTTATATGCTGGGGGATTAATACAGCACAGCAATCAGTCATAAAAAGCAAGCTTTAGTGAGTTTGTAAAGGGGTAGAACAGGCAGATCAAGTCTTGTGACCATCTTATTGCTTTCGAGTGCTTTCAAACAGTGGTGGTCAGATTTTTTTGAATTTTTTTTTTAAGGTCTATTTGTTATTAAAAGGGAATAGGGAGTTGGTTTTTTCATCATAAGTGGATAGATTTTGGAAGAGCTCTCTTGCAAATTGTGAGAAATAAGCTGAAATGTTTACAAAGCTCTGATTTTTTTACTGCTTCTAATAATTTAGCTTTGTTTTGCGTAAAGTACCTGTAAAATACATTTTTAAATACAATCAACAAAACTCCAAATCCCAGGCACTAAATGCCATTGTCACAACCTTTATTTAACAGTTGATTTTGTATTTTGAGGTTGGTTGCAGATGTTTGTGTAGTGAGACTGAAAAAACTCCCCTTGATTTGCAAACGAGAAAGTACTGAAAATGTGAGGCTGTACCCGAAATTGCCTTCAGTCTTTGTACCAAGCTATACTGTTGAGTTAGAATTCATTGTCTGCTTAGAGTAGACTTCTAAAAAGGGGAATTTATGAAGGAATGTAGAAGAATGCATTTTTAGGAATAAATTGTTTCCTGTGAGGGTGGTTTGGCCCTGGCACAGGTTGCCCAGAGAAGCTGTGGCTGCCCCAGCCCTGGAAGTGCCCAAGGCCGGGTTGGATGGGGCTGGGAACAACCTGGGCTGGTGGGAGGTGTCCCTGCCCATGGCAGGGGGTTGGAAGCAGATGATCTTTAAGGTCCCTTCCCATTCTATTCTATGATTCTACTGCAGATGGAACTAGGAGAGCAAGAAGAAGTCACTTATTACCGTGCTCCAGTTCAGACTCATTGAACTGTGTGTGCTGAGAATTCATCTTTGGAGAGAGTGGAGGATCCCTGCTCTGGGCATGAGCACAAAGCTGAGCTGCCTGTAGCTGTGAGGGCCAGAGAAGACGTGGTGAGAGGAGAAGCTGGAACAGGTACAGGGGTGGTTATTCAGTGAGCAGGAACAGTCTGAGAGGGGCTAGCTGGGCTCAAAGACCCCTTCCAGCCCAGCCCATTCTGTGCTTCCCTGATTCCCTTGCCTTTCCCCTCCCTTTGCAATCCCTGCTCCTCCCGAGCAGTGAACATCCCCGTGTGTGCCGGGCAGCGGGGCCGGATCCCTGCGGTGCTGTCCAGGGTCCTGACGAGCTGCCCAGGGCTCTGCCAACGAGCTTTCCCGTGGGGTGATCCCGCTCCAGTCCCTTGGAGCGTGGCCAAGGCACAACCATTCCAGGGGAAGCTGTTCATGCTTTAGGCTTAACTGGTTTCTTTACGGGAGTTTCCTCTCCCAGTGATTTCTGAAAACATCCAGGAATTTATGAGGATGAGAAACTGGCATTTTTTTCTCTGTATGTCAATAGTATCCCTAAAATCAATTTTTTACAGACTTATCTATTCCCAGTATAAATGCAAGTGATGCATTTTCCTCTGGCATAATCCGTCCCTAATTTGGCCATATTGTAAGCTCTGAAAAACCTCAGTTTATACATTGAAAGCAGACCTGGGAGCTGAGCTACTGAATTTGCTGAATTAACGTTCCAGTCCTGAGTACAGTGTCTGTACAGGGCCTTTTCCACATCTCACTGGTGTGGTGCTGGAAAAGAAGTCCAGAAGTGAGGGATTCTCAGCACTTCTCTCAGAGCTGCCTGGTGGTGTCCATGTGATGTGGAACTGCCCAGACTGGAGAGGGCAGCAGCAAATGGGAATGGATCTTGAGGGGTGGGAGAGGGGGGAGTTCAGGTCTTCTGGAAGATGGAGAACACGTTGTCAGTCAAATGAGAGAGTATGGTTAGTTTGCATCATTCCTCCTGTCCAAAAAGTACCTTTTAGAAAAAGCCTTCCTTCTCCAGGCTAAGAGAAAAGAGATGTCAGCTTTCAAATGTAATTTGGGTGGGATTGACTCTGTACTGCATTTAATTGCCCTTAATGGAATCATTAAGGTTGGAGTCCTTATTGGAATCAAGGATACTCTGCAGTTATGCTCAGCATTTTCTGCAGCTTTACAGCTTACTTTAAAGGTAGTACATAATTCAGAAGAAATAGTTATAATATTTAAATAGTACAGAGAAAATATACAAGTAAATCAGAGAATTCTAGTTTTGCATGGCTTTTCATAGGAGGTAGAGACAAAGGGAAGCCTGGAGCATTTAGAATAAACTTGCTGATTTTTGCTGCACAGCATCTCACCTCAGTTCAGAAGTGCAGCTACTGCTGCACTGGTGATGCCATGGAGACATCCTAAAAGTTCCTGAGCAAGACACACTGTAATTTGCATTTGGCAGTGTTTAAACTTCAGATGACTTCCATAACACACCTAGGTTAAACTTTGAAATTTCTTTTCATTTTTGTAGCACAAGCAAACATGAATATAGAGACAAAATCTCACAAAAGGGATTTCTACTTGAATTTTTCCTTTTGTTATTCAGGAATTATTTCAGCCTGTTTGTCCACTTGCAGAATTGTTATGCAATGCCTTTAGTTTATCCAATCTAAACCTACTCTCTGTTAGTTTGAAGCCATTCCCCCTTATCCTGTCCATGCTCTTGTAAATAGTCTCTCTCCATCTAAGTCCAAGTTGTCAGTGTTTAAAAAAAAAAGTTAAATCAAACCTTGCAGATCAAGGCACTCTGGCAAGCAGTAGCCTATTATTTCAGGGTCATTTTAAAAGAAAAACAAAACAACCAAACAATCTGAAATTGTCGATAAACCATTTAAAAAATCCTGTTTTCCCAGACATGGAATGGGAG